TTTATCAATGGTGAGATTGAATTAAAGCATTTTCAGTAGTGACAGAGAAGTGGATTTGTATAATAAACTTACAACAGAAAGTATTTCAGCATTAAGTATTTGATGTTGATTGATCTTACTACTTTCTGTTAAATCACCTTGGAAGTGTATACATGCTGCAGTCCCACCAGGTAGCTGCCTATTTTTGTTAGGCAATAGGTCTACAGTGGTTTTCTGCTCCGAACCACCACTGTTTTTCCTTTCTTAGATGTGTGTATGGCCAAGTGCCAGTTTCCAGGCAAGTCACAACCTGTGGTTTATTTACTGACCCATGGTCCTCAGGGACGAAAGGTCTATCAGTTTTCTCTCTTAAGCCTTGAACATTTGGTACCTTGTTGCTCTTCTCTGTAATATGTTACATCCTGCTTAGTATTGCCACAATTACATGTTTGATTTCTACAGGCAGTGTAAATTATGTGAGGATGTCAGTAACCGTTGAAAGGACTTTGCAGTGTAACTAAATAAGCATCTTTAATCTCTTATATGACTCCAGTAATCTGTTTAACCAGTGTTGAATTTGACAATCCAAATATACTATTTGACCAGGTAAAATTATGGTTAAGTTCCAGGCATGGTGGTGCATGCCTGTAATCCCAGCCCCTCAGAGGCTGAGACAGGAGAATCACAAGTTCAAAGCCTCAGCAACTTAGCAAGGCCCTGGGTTTAATCCCTGGCACCAAAAATTTTTTAAAAATAATAAAAAGGTTATCATTAAGCACCATGTGTGCATAGCCTGTTTTGTTTCCACTCTACCCCCAATACCTAGCACTTAGCAGGTATTTCTTTGACAAATATTTTTGGGATTTTGTTTTTATTTTTTCTGTTGCCACTCTCTTATCATGTCTCAGTAATCATTACTAATCTGGTGCCCAGAGGATTTGAGTTGTTTGACGCTCAGTGTAGAATATAGTGGGAATAGTGATGTGTAGAAAATGAGATTACAGTGTGAATATTGCCGTAACAGCCTCAGGTAACAATGGCAAGGAGACTTTAGTAGGAGAGCTACCTCCTGAGTGAGGAAGCAGAGAGAAGTACCATGGTGTGATAGAGAGCATTGGATGAAGAATTGATGACCAGGTTCAGATGTGTGCCCTTGGCCACATGACTTAACCTCTTTGAGCCTCCAGCTATGTGTTAGACTGTGCTCCAGAGAGCGTCTCACCCCTCCCTCTGAACAGCCAGCCAGACCATCCCTGCCTTTTATATTCTGCAGGTTGAACTTTTCTTAATTTTTTTTTTGTTTCTTTGAGAAAAATGAATTCCTTGGTTAAGAAAAAATATGGACTAGATGTTTCCCCAGATTCCTTTAGTAATGATCATCTAGTGATTATTATGATATTCTGTACATATTCAGCAAATATACTAGCAAACATAAACCAACTTCTTGTCTAGTCAGTACTATTAATTAGCTTTTTGTTGCTGTGAACAAAATACTGACAAGAACAATTTAGAGGAGGAGAAGTTTACGTAGGCTCGTGGTTTCTGAGGTTTTAGTCCATAGTTGGCCAGCTTCATTGCTCTGGGCCTTACTAGTTCCACAAACATGACTGTGGAAGGGCATGGCAGAGGAAAGCTGCTCAGCTCACCGTAGCAGGAAACAGAGAAAGGGGTCAGGGGTAGGGCTAGACCAAGACCACATTCCCAATGACCTACCTCCTCCAATCACGCCCCACTTGCCTACAATCATAGCTGGTAGTCCATTCAGATTATTTCATTAAGTGGATGAATTCACTGATGAGGTTACAGTTCTCATCTTAGAATGTTGTTACATTGCCTAACAAATGATCTCTGTGGGGTTTTTAGATCTAAACCATTACAAATATCTTTCCCCCTTTGAGATGAGGGCCACACACAGGGTCCATGGTGATTTGGGCTCAAAACCCAGGAATTTTTAGTTTTTTTTTTTTTTAATTTGGTATCAGGGATTGAATCAGGGGCATTTGGCCACTGAGCCATGTTCTCAACTCTATTTTTGTATTTTATTCAGGGACAGGGTCTCACTGAATTGCTGAGTGCCTCGCCATTGCTGAGGCTGGCTTTGAACTCGTGATCCTTCTGTCTCAGACTCCTGAGCTGCTGGGATTACAGGTGTGTGCCACCATGCCTGGCGAATTTTAGTTCTTTATAAACTACTTTCTTCCCAGTAGTTCCATGGTCAAAGCCTCAGCTTCATTCTTTTTCTTCTTCTTATTTTTAAATGTATATTTTTTAGTTAATGGACCTTTATTTATTTATATGTGGTGCTGAGAATTGAACCCAGTGCCTCACACATGCTAAGCAAGTGCTCTACCACTGAGCCACCAGTCCATCAGCTGCATTCTTAAGCAGCCTTGTCTCTTACCTTCTGAGATACTCTGAGAGTCACCCACTCTGCACTGTTTTGATGTTTGTGTTTACATTTGCTTTCAGCTGTCATTGTTATCTGGGATGTTTGTGGAAAGACATCCTGGTTTGAACACTCTCCCAGCATAATGTTTGTTCCATCTTTCCCGCTTTTCTGTTGTCCATGATAGGATCTGATTGTTTTGGAAATAATTCTGATCTTAGCAACAGGAACTATTTCCACATGTCTTGCCAGGAATTAGGCCCTGCGGGAGTGAGCCAACCTCAGAAGGAAAAAGGAGACAGTAGAAGAAAGATTGCACGAACAGTAACAGTGCTTAACATTTACTAGATACGCCCTTACAAATTACTTAATCCTTTGAGCCCCAGTTTTCTCTTCTGTAAAGTGGACATCAAAATACTTCCCTAGAGCCTTGTTATGAGGATTAAAAGATGTAAGGGATGGACATACTTGGCCTTGTGCTTGGCCTACTGTAGACACTAAGTTGGAGTGTCGCTCTCCCTTTTTCCTGTGCTATTTAATATTTCTTTTTTTCTTTGGAATTTTCCATCCTTTCTCCTTCCTCTCTTTTCTACAGTCATTGAATACCTGCCATGTGCTGGGCATTGCCTTAGGTGCTGGGGATACAGTGTGAATAAAACAAAGTACCTGTCTTCATGGAGCATGTGTGCTGATATGTCCTCAGTAAGATGCAGTTACCATAAGGGACAGAATGCAGAAGATATGAAGAACTCTCAGAACTCAATAATAAAAAGACAGCTCAAGTTAAAAATGAGCGAAGGATTTGGGTAGTTACTTCTCTTTGATCTGTGAATGGCCAATAAACAGATTAAAAAGATGTCAAGATCATTAGTCATAAGGAAAATGAAAATTAAAACCACATTGAGATAACATATCATACCTACTAGGATGACTATAATCAGCAGAACAACAGTGACGATTGTCTGTGAGATGTGGAGAAATTGGAATCCTCATATATTGTTAATGGGAATCTAATGACGCGGCTACTTTAGAAAATAGGCTGGTAGCGCCTTAGGATTCTAAATGTGACCCAGCAGTTTTGCTCCTAAATATCTATCTACCCGAGAGAGAAAAACATTTCCATATAAAAATTTGTGCATGAATGTTCATGGCAGCATTATTCACAGTAGCCACAGAGAGGGAGTAGCCCTAGTGTCCATCAGTGGAGGACTAAATGAAAAGCGGTATAGCCATGACATGGGATATCATTTGGTGGTAAAAAGGAATGGTGTGGTGGTGTGTGCTGCAGCGGGGACAACATTTTGCAAGTGAAAGCAGCCAGTTACAGAAGACCACATGTTATATGAGCTCATTTATATTAATGTCCAAAATAGGCAAATCTGACAGACACAAAGTAGATCAGTGATTGCCTATGCCAAGGGGAGGTGACAGGAATCAGCTTCTCTGCCAGTGAAGTTTCTTTATGGGACAATGAGATGTTCTAAAGTTATGGAGATGATTGCACCACTCTAAATGCACTAAAAACTGTTGTCCACTTTAAATGGGTGAACTTTGTGGCATGTAAATTACATCTTAAGTTACTAAAAACTGCGGCTACCTCTTCTCTTGCGTCTTCCTCCGTCTCGTGGCCTCCTTCTCCTCAGATGTGTGTGTTTGCTCTGGCCTCCCATCCTAAAGCCAGACAGCAGAAATGCCACTTCTCTGTGGGACCCCTTGCTACTTCCATCCTATGCTTTTTCTCCTTTCATAGCCAAGACTCCTAAAAGTTAGAAAATGAGCAATTTAGTAATAGTTTATTATTGAAAAGTCAGAAATTATGGGTAAGCACACACAAAAAAAGATTTTAGATATTTAATCTCACCCCCAGAGATAATTTTAAATAAATTTTTATAATTTCAGTATTAAAATTTGACATCTTGTTTTTTTTTAAATATTTTCTTAGTTGTAGATGGACACGATACCTTTATTTTGTTTATTTATTTTTATGTGGTGCTGAGGATCGAACTCAGTGAGTGCTCAGTGCCTCACACGTGGAAGGCAGGCGCTCTGTCGCTGAGCTTCAGCCCCAGCCCAGCCCCGTGTGTGTGTGTGTGTGTGTGGTTTTTTTTTTTTTTTTTTTTGCTAAAGAGGAGTACTGTTATAAGGAAAGGTTTGTTATGTTACTACATGAAGACAGAGCATTGGATATTATAAAAAAGATCTTTACCTTTTATCAGAACATTAAGCATGGTGGGCTTTTATGCATGATTTGATTTTTCACTTTTATGATTTGTATGAATCAAATTTGAAGTTACTAAAACCTAATGCTTTAGAAGCATTCAAGCTTGTTAAACAATGTGGATGGAATACAGAAAACCAGGTTACCTTTTAGACTACATCTGTTATGTGGCTTTTGCTTAAGCTGCAGCCTGATACCACAAGAGGATTTCAGTCTGAAATATTTAAGAGCACGTTAAAGTGCCGTGCCCTGTGAAATAAAAATTTCATGGATTCTGTTGAGCATCTCTGGGGTATTCAAAATGTCTGACTGACTTTGGCTGTGAATTGAGATGCCAGATAAGATGGATGGATTTCCTGCTTTAGAAATCATATTGAGCCAGTTTTCATTGATCCTTTCTCTCTTTTGCATCTGCAGAATTAGACTGGCTGAGTAACCCAAGTTTTTGTGTCGGAACTGTAACTACCCTGAGCCAACAAACTGAAGAGGCCACAGCTCTTGTTTCTGAAGGGTCATCACCAACAAGGTACTTTTTTGACAGGTGGATTTTAGCCTTTGTTGGTCCACTCTGTAGCTTAGTTCAGCTGATGCTCCTCGAAAGCCCTGTGATGAAAGAGTGAAACTCGTCCCTGTACTCAACAAGGCAACCTCTGGCTGCTTCCTCCCACCTCACCCCTGCAGAGGGCTCCTTCTTCCCCTTTTGCATTGCAGTGGCAAGTGCATGACAGTCAGTCCCTAGAGTTAGGTAGGCCATGAGAGAAGTGGTGTTGTTGAGATTCTCAAGTACTTTGCTACCTTCATTAGTGATCTTTAGATTATTAGAATTTGGGTACTTTAGTTGCCTTTTCAGCACTTCTTGTGTTGTAGCTTGTGTGATATAACATAGACTAACATCCAAGAAAGCAAAGTGGCCACGTCGCTACCCAGCTATGAAAGGCCTTTTGTAGATGATTGAATTGAGGTACGTGCTCTTCCACAGATGTAGACTAGGTGATCTGTATTTGAAATCCTGTACTAGAATTGTGCAGGAAGCCTTTGGAAATTGATAATAATTAATATCCAAGAGGGAGTTTGTAGAGATTTTGGTAATTAGAAGAAGAGCTCATTGTCATCTTTAAAAATAAGGACCACAAATTAAACCTCTTTTTGTTTTGACCTTAAGGACATTTCAGCATAATATATGGCCCTGAAAAGGTACTTTTAATAATGTGCCTAAAAACTGCTTTATTTGATAAAGTTACTGATAGGTTACTTTTATTTAAAAACGTGAAAGTATAGATTTAGGAAACTATTAATATGAAAATTTTTCCTTCATCCATTTTTATTTGAGGTTCAGTTCTTAAAGTCTTTAAGGTGATTTGTAACCCAGGAAGGTTCTGTGCAGTATCTGGGTAAATAGTAAGTCTCTGTGGGCGTTTTATAGAGCTCCCTATTACATATTTACCTATATTATTTTCTTATTTATATATAATTTTTTCTATTTCTCTTGAAAATAATTCTAAATTGATTTTCCCAAAAAGGAGTCCTCTGAAATCAGAGCCTTCAGATGAAAGTGATGCTAGCAGAAAGCTCACACAAATAATCAGGAGAAAGAAGAAGGAAAAAAAGAAAAAAAGGAAGCATCAGCACCACAAGAAAACCAAGAGGAAGCACCGGCAGTCGAGCAGCAGCGAGTCTGAGCCAGATTCTGATTCAGGAAAGGACAGATCTTCCAGGAGCATCAGAAGCAGCCAGAAGCAAGCTGAGCAACCCAAGTATGTTGCTCTGCTCAGATACTGTAGCACTTTAAATTTGAATTTTCTGTCTTGATTGTTGCCACAAGTTAGACATTTGAATAATTAGCCAGTCACTCAAAAGATCTCTATCATTAGATCAGCTTAAAAGCAAAAGAAAAATTGTCATAAAAATTTAGGGGTATTATTTTATTTGAGAAATACTACTTAGACACAGTAATGATGGTGTCAAAATATGATTTGGGCTTTCTCAAAGATGGCTCATGTGCCACATGGTGGGCTTATGTGTCACTGCACTACATAGTGAAGGATTCCATCCCTGAGGGCTGTTGGTTTCCATCCTAACAGAGACTAACAGGAGCCTCTTAGTTCTTAGCCTTGATGTGTTTTTTTGTTCAGTTACTCCTATACATGCTTTCTCTCTCCCTGACTCACTCTATTTTTTCAGTTCAGTTAATAAAACTCTTAAATAATTGCTTTTTATCCCTCTCATTTTTTTATTTCACATTTATTTAGAAACACTGTGTTAAAAGGGTTAGAGTAGCTTGTGACCACAGTATTTCCTTTCTTGGGTGACTTAGTGTCCCCATATCTCACTCTGCTCATCTGCCTTGAACCAATTGCTCTGTGGAATTTCATTCCACAGAGAGGCCACAGCGTAGGGACTCAATATAGCTTTTCCTCTTTGTGTAGTTGAACATCCTTCTGCATAGAAAGGTATGTGAGACGGAACAGGTAGAATCTGCTGAAGCTATTGAATTATTACTCATTTAACGTTTTCCTTTTCTTAGTTCCTACAAATTAGAAGAAAATTTTAAGTAGCTTTCCAGGGTGTACTTAAAAATATGGTGCCATTGAGATTTTTGCAACCCTCAGGGATTATTTGCTTTTCTTGTATGCTTGGAAGTCCTTTGATGCCAGTGAAAGCTCTCTGCTTCAGGAATTGTGGAGCTGACCCTGAGTGTTTCCAACAGAGAGGCAAACACTGCAGCCCTCTGGATCCCGGAGCAGCGTCCTCAGACCACTGGTGAAGAGCACTGCCTGCCTCTGTGACTCAGAGGAGCCAGATTTCTTTAGTGCTGTGTGTCTCAGGTGCTATACCTGTAACCCATGCTTTCTCTCAGGAGGGGAAAAAAAAAGGAGTTGAGCAAAAAGGTTCCGAATTGCAGGCTGAATTTAGGAGGTCAGGATCATGGCCAGCCTGCTTACTGCTGCATCCCCAAGTGCTTGGTGGGGCCTGCCACGGTGCATTGTTGCTGTGTGAATTAATGTATTATTGATATCTTTGAATTTTATTTTACTTATTTTTTATTCTTTTTTTTTTTTTGTAGTGCTGGGGATTGAACCAGGGCCTTGAGCATGCTAGGCAAGTGCTCTACCACTGAGCTACACCCCATAGGTCTGTGTTCTTAGCTTTTTTGTATTTCCAAAGCAAGCTACTTTAAATTGTGATAGTTTCTTTAGAGCTGAGGAAAGTGTTAAATGATTTCCTGAAACCATATAGGAACTACCATGAGAACTTGAAAGATTGTTAATTTTGGCCTATGCTTGGTTTTATGATCCAGATAGCATTTTTTTAAGTGACCTTTATTTATTTATTTTTTAATTGTTTTTTTTTTTTTTTTTTAATACATGGCAGCGGAATTCATCACAATTCTTATTACACATATAGAACAGTTTTTCATACCTCTGTTTGTATATAAAGTATGTTCACACCAATTCATGTCTTCATACATGTACTTTGGATGATGATGTCTATCACATTCCACCATCCTTGCTAATCCCCTGCCCCCTCCTTTCCCTCCCACCCCTCTTCCCTATCTAGAATTCATCTATTCCTCCCATGCTCCCCCTCCCTTACCCCACTATGAGTCAGCCTCCTTATATCAGAGAAAACATCCAGCATTTGTTTTTTTGGGATTGGCTAACTTCACTTAGCATTATCTTCTCCAACGCCATCCATTTACCTGCAAATGCCATGATTTTATTCTCTTTCAGCTAGCATTTTTTTAGTTGTCAATGGACTTTATTTTGTTTATTTATATGTGATGCTGAGAATTGAACCCAGTGCCCCACACATGTTAGGCAAGTGTTTTACTACTGGGCCACAACCCCAGCCCCAGATGGCATTTGTAAGTTTGTTATTTTGTGGACTGACCTGAGATCAAAATAGATTGTTCTTATCCTTCTCTTTTGCTTTTTTTGTGATTAAATTCTATAGTTTCTTTCTGGGAAGGTTGACCTGGAGGAACTGTTTGTTTCCACATAGACAAGTGCTGAGACATTAGTGAGTTGTGAATGTCTTTCCATGATGTCAGGGAAAAGCGACTTCATGGAGGGCAGCATACCACGAGGGATTCCACTTCAGGAGACCTGGGGACAGTTTCCCCAGAGGCTGCAGCTACTAATTGACCTTCATTTCCTGGGATGAACTTTTCTTCACCTTAAAGGGAAGGCTGCCTCACCTTGTACACAGTTTAGAGGGCATCCTGCTTCCTACCTCCATAGCTGCTAGGGAAGATGTGAGGGCTCCTTTATGTGCTGGGGTGGGCTGCAGATGGCCCTTCCTCCCTGCCTCACATTTGGCTTTCCTTTTATTTCTGTTTTGCATCAATCTCTTTCCAGTGGACTCTTCCTCCTTTCACTTCCCCTATGGTTTTTGTAGTTAGAAAACCCTCCACAGTTGTCCTAAAGGCAAATACATTCAAGTCACAATATATTTTATCATTATCATTCAACAAGTATTTATTGAGTAGCTACTTTGTAACCCTGAAATAGCATTCTCTTTTATTCCCTGCCAGGAATGATTTAGAAGCCTCCAGAATTCTTATTTGCATCTGGGCAGAGCTAAAAAGCCAAGATGGAGCAACAGTTAATGGCTGTTTTGACTGCTTTGGCAGCTCCTGTGTCAGCTGCATTATAAACTGATTTTCTTTAGAGGAAGAAAAATTCTGGGATGCCAGAAAACCCTTCTCTCCCTCTTACTTAACTCCTAGGGAAGCAGTTTTATTCATTTGTAACTGAGCTGAAAGTCTGCAAGCCTGCAATTTGGTTCAAAGAGATAAATAAGGGTCTTGACTTCCAGGGGTCAGCATGACTCTGCCCTTTCTATAGGAGGTCCAGACAGACCTACAGGCAAAGCGTGGTATAATCGAGACTATAGAAATGAGACTGGGACCACTCCTGAGTAATTCAAAATTGTGGCTCTTTTTTTTTCTTTTCTTTTTTAAAAAGTACCTAGTTGGTATAAAGTATTTGAGTGCTTTCTTATTGGTGAGGTGAAGTGAGGGCAGCTTACTGTAATGTCAGTGGTTGTCACCTTTAAATGTGTGTCATCATTTCCTCTGCCTAGTACTCTAAATGCCTCAGAGCAGAATTATTTTTTAGGAAAAAAATTTGTTTATAAGTATACTTGCAATTCCAGTTATAGTCACTTAAATGAACTACTTAAAAAAAAAATACCTATGTCCCTCAGGTTAATATCTGAGGTGGTGACCTTTCTTGTTATTTAGTGGCGGGAGGTTTTGCTTTATTTTTTAAACTCTTTTTCCCAGAATAGGACTCCTCTTCTTGTCCCTGTAGCATGTACTTAGGCGCGTTGGATGCCATGTGGGGTTTGAAAGGTTTTAACTCCCATATTTCTGAAAATGTCAAGTATATCACTGGAAGAGCTCTGAAGTGCCTCTTTCTTTTCCTTCTTCCCACAGTCAAGGAAATAATACTGCTGCTGATGCTGGACTTCGCTCTGTCTGGCTTGAGGACATTCAGTCTCTGACAGGAGAAACCTTCAGAACAGATAAGAAACCCGATCCTGCAAACTGGGAGTATAAGTCTCTCTACCGAGGGGATATTGCAAGGTATCCATGGTGTCAGTCTCTTGTTTTTGCTTTTGAAAGTGAGTTCTTTCCCCTCTGGGCTTTCTCAGCACGGTTTGCCTCTCTTTCATAGCTGGTGGTGGGTTTTATCTATTGCTAAGTTGTTGAGGCACATGTGACATTTCATATTCTAAAATGAAACCTTGAGGTCAGGTTGGATTAATCTTCTTTATTTCTTCTGCTTCATTTAGTGCCTAGGAAAGTTGCTGTTCAGTAAATGTTTGTCGAATGAATAAATCTAAAAATATCTTTTAATAATCAGTTGTGACAGGTATCTGGAAACCATTTGGTCTAATCTATATGCCACTTGAAAAAGTGGCAAAAGCCTGTGCCATTTAAAAGACTTTTAATGGTAATGACTTTTTCTCAAATTATTTCTAGCACACACCACCAGATGATCATAAAAATAGGTGGTATTTGCTTCGGTAATGAATTTGAACTTTTCCCCTGTAATCTGTCAATCAAAAAGATTTGAGTAAGCATGGCTGGGAGGCTTGTGCTTGTCATCCCAGCTACTCAGAAGGCTGAGGTGTGAGGATTGTGAGTTCAGGGCCAGCCAGGGCAACTTATTGAGGCTCTGTTCTCAAAACAACAACTATTTGACAATATTTTGTAGGAAATGTGGGAACATAAAGAACAATAATATACTATCTCTGTTCCTAAACACAGTTATAAGTAAAGCAATTTGAAGGTAGACAGTCATGGAATATAAGGCCAACAGACTTTGGAGGTGGTTACCCTTCATAGGCTAAATTTCAGTTTCCAGTACCTTACTCCAAATTTTAATCATTTCTCATTCATCTTAACGTTCCTCAACACATAAACAATTCCAGCTTTATGATCAGTTGTATCATTTGGGTGTCAGTACATATTATAATATGCATACTGTTGACTAAAACTTCATGACTGCGACTAAATGACTATCATATTTAAATGTATACATATATATATATTTTAATTTTAAAATTTTTAGTTGTAGAAGGACACAATACCTTTATTTTGTTTATTTGGTTTTTTTAACGTGGTGCTGGGGATTGAACCCAGTGCCTCATGCATGTTAGGCAAGCACTCTACCACTGAGCCACAACCTCAGCCCTGTATGCATATATATTTGCATTATTGTAACGTTGCCTGAAGTCTTGTTTGGTGTTCCATGCCCCTACAGGATAGTGCCAGAGATATGGTGGATACCTAGTAAATGATGGGCAGGAGGTATGTGCTATGGTCCTGTGCTCATTCCATTTAATGTCAGCTTGTCTGATGCTCAGGGCTGCTCCTGGAGGAGGAGAATCTCTGAGAAGTTAAGTAACTGATTAAGATCAGGTAGCCCTGGAGCAGCAGGGCTGGGATTTGAACTAACTAATGTGAGACAGGTGTGTGATAGGATGCTTTCTCCAGTTGGAAACGGGACCCATGTGCTCATTCTAACTGCTCTTCTTCTTCTTTTTTTTTTTTTTAAAGAGAGAGGGAGAGAGCGAGAGCGAGAGAGAGAGAGAATTTATTAATATTTATTTTTTAGTTCTCGGCGGACACAACATCTTTGTTGGTATGTGGTGCTGAGGATCGAACCCGGGCCGCACACATGCCAGGCGAACGTGCTACCGCTCGAGCCACATCCCCAGCCCTGTAACTGCTCTTTACTAGCAGCATAATCCCAGGAAGGTTGCCTCTCTGTCTGAGCCTCCTTTTCTTTGTTTGGAAATGGGAAATATAATTTCTGCCCTTTCTTATGTTCAAAGATCAGAGATATTTGATCTGGAATTGGAAATTGGTGTGCACTTATAAAGGGTTATTATTTATTAATAGATTGAAAAAAGGAGAAAACAATACAAAGAGTGGCTCTTGAGGTTTTGCTAATGAATGGCATAGGCCTTAGAAGAGTAATTAGACATGACCTTATTAATCTAAATTACAAATAGGATGATTAAAAGGTTTAAGGCATTGTTGGTTTCCTAGTAACTCAGGAATTTTAAGTGAGGCAGTCTTACCTGGGTTAATAGCCATAGAGCTGTCAGTAATTGGGTCTAGGAAGATAGTCATCCCTCAGCACTCTGGACTGGTCAGAGGACAATGGTAGTAATATTGTGTTGGATACTGTATTTCTGTTCCACTTGAAAAGGAACGCAGACAAACCTAGAGCATCCAGCAGATGGTGAGCCGTTGTTTAGGATTTGATTAGCTCTGGTCTGTCAAAACCAGGTGAAGGGGATGGATGTTTGGCCTGTAGCAGGGACATGATCACTGTCTCTTAAGCTTTGTTGAACTGTCCATTGGAAAGTGGACTGACAGAGTTTTGACTCAGGGAGGCGGAACCAGGACTAATGGAAGTTCCAGGAAATCAGACTTGGCTCAAAACAAAGACGTCGACAAGTGTGAGCGCCCCAGCAGTGCATGGCACGTTTTGGAGGGATATTCAGCAGGGTATGACCTGCAAATGCTAAGTTATTCTTTCCCTTTGGAAAATTCATTAGGACTGATACACTGTCAGTGAAATTCAGCTCAGTCAGTTTTTTCTCCATTTTTGAATAGATGGTTTCTTTGGCTGTACAACAGACAAAATATTGGCTTATGTCTAGGAGCCAGTTTTTATAAAATAATAATAATGTAAATTTACTAGTCCTTACTGTGTGTCAGACACTCTTCTAACACTTTTACATCTATAAAATTTTTTGACCCTCCCAATAATACTATGACAAAGGGACTACTATTATTCCCATATTACAGATGAGGAAACTGAGGCACAGACAGTGCTGTGGTTTGACTATGAGTTATCGCTCTGAACTCATGCAGGAGTTTAATCCCCAAAGCCTTATGCTAAAGGTATTAAGAGGATGAAAACTTAATCTGACTGTGATGTGTAGAGGTGTGGCCTATAGGGAGTGACTAGATTAGATGGGGTCCCTAAGGTGGAGTCCTCATCACAGAATCCTTATTGCTTTTATAACAGTTGAGCAAGAGACCAAGTAAATACAAAGATACATACATGCTCCTACCATGATGGGATGATGTAAAAGGGCACCCTCTTCAGAGCTTATACCCTGCTGTTTGGACTCCAAGCCTCCAAAACAAAATAAACTTTTTTCTTTTATAAATTAGCCTGCCTCAGATATTTTGTTACAGTATTGCAAAACTAACCAATACAGAGTGGTTTTAATGACTTGATCAAATTCACCCAGCTAGTCAGTGATGGGATTGGAATTTGGACTAAGGTATTCTTATTCTGTGAAGGCAGAAGAGATGGAAGCTACAGAAGAAAAGGTAACTTTATGGGCATCCAGGGCCCAGGCCTATTGTTTGTGGATTCAAGGCACAATTGTGTGCTCTTTTTAAATGTATTCATTTCCCTCTTTATCTTCTAATGACTTATTTTTTCTCTTTCTTTCTTTTTTTTTTTTT